GGGTACCAATCTCTGCGTCTCGTAACGGCGCACACGCTCGTTTTTTCCGCGACGCGCTAGCTCCACCAGGGGCGAAACGGCGAGGGGGGGGGTCGTACCTGCCCCCCCTCGGCCGGCGCGTATGTAGAAAACCAATAGGTCCGGCGAGGGTTAACCCTCGCCCTGGCAGGGGGGTCGATGCGACCCCCCTAAGGTTTTTCGAAGATATCGTAAAAACGGCACAGCCTAGGGCCTATGGGGCACCCTTTTTACATATGACCTGAAAAGTTCAGGTCCGATAATAGTTTCAATGGCAGAAATCTGAACAATTCTGAAGAATGGTGGTTCAATGACGAAATGTGACTTCAAAATAATTGAGTAGCTTTCGACGTGTCACATAGATTTCGACGTCGACGACGTCTTAGAGCATTTGTCGTACGTCTATCTACTTGGATCTGATTTCATACGAGATCCAGGAATAAATTATATGAAAAACTTTGAGCTTCGTTAGCAAAAACGTAACCATTTCATGACCATTTACCCTTGATTAGGTCACTTGCTGTTGTGGGTAGTCTTCTTTCTCTCCAAGGTCAAACTTAAGATGTCAGTGAATTGACTTTGCTCAAAATTTTGCGATACGTCAAAAGGTCTGTCTTGGATGGATCCAGTTGAACGTCTGTTGCCCAAATTTCAGTCTCCTATCATCACCTGTTTTCAAGGAATCCGACTTAACCCGCGCCCCAGTGGCGGTCTCAGCCAACTTCGCCCTAGTGGGGGGGGGGGGGGGCATATGTTACCACCCACCTCTAACTCAAAAACTAAGAGGGCTAGAAAGACGCGGTAAAAAACAGTCGATAGCTCTCAATGCGTACGTTTGAAAGTATTTCAGTCATTTTTCACCTTAGAGCAATATTGGGGTCACCAGAGGTCATCAAAGGTCAAAATTTGCCAATTGTCATTATATTTTTCAGAAAACATGCCACTATCTCAGGAACTATGGTAGCTATAAAAATGCATGAAAGAGCAATCGATAGCTTTTGAACTCGTCTTTTGAAAAGGTCATTATCAATATTGACCTCAGGTCAACGGTTTAGCCTCCAGAGGGCAAAAACTCCAAAAATAGCTGTTTTTACGAAAAGTGTTTTCGACAATAACTTTCGACTACAAAAAGCCACGACATTTTTATTGCCAGAATCGTGTTCCTCTCGCCGAGACGCGTCGAATGAACTATAATTTGACCTTGAAAGGTCAACTTGAAAATTTGACCTCAGCATGTTGCATATCAGTCGATGCGTCTTAACGAGACAAACACAATGAGACCATCCCCAGCGTTCTATCTCTTTCCAATCGCGAGTTATTGGCAAAAAACTGTTTGTAGCCTCAAATGACCTCGGATGACCTTTCTAGAGGCTATCAGCAAAAATGACACATTTGTCATCACGAGTGGACTAAATCATTGTGATTCTGAAATAGTTGGACTGTTCCTATGCGTACACACGGATCTAGAGGCATTTTCATTTTTCTCCATTGACTTGTAATGGAAAGGTCACGCCACTGCCCTGACCTTAGGTCACGGATATAAAAAATCCGAGATATACACATTGTAGGCGCCCATAACAGCATGCAATCCACCAAGTTTAAAACCTTTCTGACAAACACTGCAGGCTGGACATGATTGCAAACTTTTTTTAGGCTTGGTCAGTTAACTTGACCTGGTGACCTGACCTGACATGACCTGGGTTCAAAAATTTCACACATTGTCCAAAATTGATGTACCAAAAGCTACCCCAAGCGGCGTGCCGCTGCGCGCCGCAGTTTTTTATTCACACGCAAAAAACGCGACAGGGTGGTAACATATCCCCCCCCCCCCACTGGGGCGAAGGTTATTAACCTTCGCCCCAGGCCTACTTATTTAGCACCCTTTTCCCCGCCAGGCCTACTACGTCCGGTCTGAATCAACCCTCGCATGGGGTGATGCAGCCCCGATTAGTTTTTTTCTGAGCTGGATGCTAAACAGATCAGCAGAGCGCGACAATATTTTGCATTTCCAAAGCGGCATCTTTGCGCAACCCCTCGCCCGTATAGGGGGGTCGAACGGACCCCCCATGGTTTTTCGCGAATAACTCGCGTAAAAAGCGGCCGATCGCGACGAAACTTTCCGTACCCTCGCGTTCATCAATTTCACACCTACCCTGAAAATTTCATGACCCTGACCCAAATGACCTTTGACCTGTGACCTACTTTTCGAGACCATGTTTGGCTGGAATTGCGATTCGGCGTATGTCGGCTCGCATTAGCCGCGCGTTTGCAGTCTTTTCGTGGTTTCAAGCGTTCAAACATGTGATATGATGTTGCCCTCATGCATTAGGGTGGGTGTCAAGGTCACCTGAAGGTCAGGTCAGGTCATTGACCTTTGATGACCTCGGTTCACTTTTTCGAGTTTTACATGTTTCTAGGTCAGTTTTTGGAGCTGAATTCGAATTTAGCAACCATATGAACATTTACGAAGTAGTTTTGGTGCCTTCGTAACATGTTACGAAGCTGTCAGAGGCGGTTGCCACCTACTACGAATACCCTTACTGGTTGACCTGACCTGACCTGACCCGACCTGGCCTAAATACATGAAGACATCATCTGTGATCAAAATTAACTTGATATTCGTGATCAGCACCCCGAAAAACCCCATTGCAGCTACACTTTACGACGTTCTAACAGGTCCCGATTTTCCCACCTTTGGGGTCATTGACCTGACCTGCAAGGTCAACCAATGACCTAAGACCTTAAAATTGGGTATCATCGGCTTCCTCTCGTCACGGGCAACACGCTCGTTTTTTCCGCGAAGCTCTAGCTCGATCAGGGGCGAAACGGCAAGGGGGGGGTCCAACGGACCCCCCCCCCCCTTATACGTTCGCGGCTGGAAAAAGACCAATACGGGCGAGGGTTAAAAAGAAGAAATAATTGACCGGGTTATGTCAGGTTACAGAGCTATAACGTTATAACAGGTACAGCCTCAGGCCAGAAGTGCGTAAAATCGCAGATTATCACGTGTTATTGGGAAATATCAACCACAACAAAGACTTTGCGGGCTATTTCGGAGCATGAGTGACCTTATCAAGGTAAAAGGAAGTCAGGGGAAGGTCATTGACCCTTTTTTACCTCTGGTGACCGTTCGTGACCTAGACTATAATGGGGTACATAGGTGTCCTAACTTCAACTTTGTCTTTTATTCAGGACGTCTAAGAGTGTTTATGAAGCATTGTGATGCAAAGCATGAAATGGATTGATTACATCAGTTTCGGATAGGTATCTATTAGGTGGTTCAATAAGTAACAGTCAATGGTTATATTATGCTGCGTACCCTTATATGGAAAATCCTTCCAAAAATGGAATGCTTCCAAAAATGGAAGATTTGACCACAGTTTCCCCGACTGATCTGACCTTTGAGTGGTAGTAACCCGGCAGTTGCTGGGGTATTTCGCCACCCACCGTTTGCTGGGGGGGGGCGTTAAACGCCCCCAGCCGATAACTCGAGAACCAATAGGCGCAGCGAAACGCACGAGGCGGCAAACGGAAGAACGCGACGAGACGCTTCAGATATGTACTTTAAAGTTTAATTTTGAGGTCACAGGTCAGGTCAAGGTCAGGTCAAACACCTGAAATCGGATTTTCAGTAGCATGGGCTTCAGGACTTCGCAATGGGCGCCTCTCGTCATAAACGCTGTCAAAACGGTGCACAATCCATCATATAAGGCCTACAAGAGTGTCAGCTCCATGTAGGCGTCAGTCAAGCATAGGTCAGGGTCAAGGTCAGGTCAACCGGGCAGGCACATATCCCCGAAAATCAAAACCAATATTCGCAGCCTGTGACACATGTTTTATGGGTAATTTGGGGCGTAGAACACGATGGTGACATTCATTTTACCATATGTGTACGTGTTTGGCTAAAAAAGTTCAATTTAAAAATGCATGTTTCATGGTCGTGAAGTAGTCACGAGAAATTGCCAAGATTCAGTCCAAGATTTTGGAAAATGCGGAACGCTAATCAACAATCGAAGAAAGCCATTTGATTGTAAGTACATGGTATTGGCAGTCCAATGGCGTTTACGACATGTCTGTATGTCTATTCTGTGATTTTATATGGTTTTTTGAACATATGCCGTTTTTGGTCGAAAACTCAGAAATCATGACGTCACTAAAACCTCGATATCTCAAAAATTTCCCGACCGATTTTTTTGAAACTTTGTCACAATACACTTCAATCAATTCCCTACAGGTACCCATAATTTGGCCGCCGTTTTTATGCTATGGCCCGGCGAAAAAAGTGGGGGCGTTTAACGCCCCCCCCAGCAACTCGCGGGTTTATCTATCAACAATTGCATGATGCACGTTGAAGAGGTAATGTCTTCATATTGATGTATTTAAAATAAATTTCTGAAAAAAACACGTAATAACAGGGGACTTTTGACGATTTCTGCCATTTGAATTTTGTCTTTTTGACTTTTTGCAAATTGACTTTTGTCTCTTTGACTTTTTTGCCATTTGACTTTTATCTCTTTGACTTTTTGTCGGTTTGACTTTTTACTTTTGACTTTTATCCATTTTGACTTTTTATATTTTGACTTTCATCTGTTTTGACTTTTCCGCATTTGAATTTTTGCTTTTGACTTTTATCCGTTTTGACTTTTTCACGTCTGACTTTTCTCCTTTTTGACCTTTTGCCATTTTGACTTTTTGCTCTTTTGACTTTTTAGTTTTGACTTTTGACGTTTTGACTTTTTGACGTTTTGACTTTTATACATTTTGACTTTCTTCCATTTGACTTTTATCCCTTTTGACTTTTTGCATTTGACTTTTTATCTGTTGACTTTTTGTCTTTTGACTTTTTGTCATTTGACTTTTTGTCCGGTTACCGACTAAAACAACGGGCAGCCGCTTTGCCCCACTCTCCCCTATCTAGGACAGTGGGCCAGCCAGTCGGCACCGCTGTGAGCTGATTGGGGATGGTTGTCGTCGTCCCAAAGTTGGCATGTGTGACGTCACAGACAACGGGCTGGCGCTCAGCAGGCCTGCATCAGTTTCGAAGGTGACGTGTGATTCGCCGGCCGGCCAACCCACTGGAAGTTCTGCACTGCTGACCCACAGTCCGAGCCAGCCGGTCACTCACTTCGGTCCGGTAAGACATTTCTTATGCATTAAAATGCCTGGCTTTTTAAAGAGCACTATGGTTGTAGGTATGTGTTTTAGGCATCGTTTAAAATCTTCCATTTCATAAAATATCTAGGCATTTCATGAAATACCAGACATTCGACGAACTATAATCGAAATTAACCCGTGCTTGACAGGGGGGGACTCTAAAGGGCCCCTCCCGTTTTTCTGCCATATCTTCTAACTAAATGATGTTGATATGTCCCACTAAATGTATCAAAACAAAACCAGCAGTACCTACCTTTAGCTGCATCGTCTTGATATCGTGTATGCAAACTGGAATTTCGTAACTACAATAGGTCGGCCGGAAATGACTTCGGAGTGACGTTGTATCGGTCGGTTTTGACTCAAAACATTGAATTACGGCAATCGCTCTCAAGAGCTTAGTTTTTAAGGAAGATCCGATTTCTTTGCACGAGAGGACTAGAAGTATAGATTACCATCAAACTGCAATATCAGACTTTTAAAAGTTTGAACATTTCGAAAACGTAGGAACATATAAAAATTTCATATCAGTTTTATTTAGTTAAAAAAAAAAACGTAGTATATGTGATAGAAAACATGCCGATGATTTATTATAGCAGGTTTTAGCCCGATATCTCCAAAAATAGCTTATTTAAAGGCATTTTAGTCTAAATATTACTATTATTCTTTTTTTCAAATCAATTTTTTGCCTTACATGTTACAGCAATGTAAATAGCACAATCGGGTTCCTGAGCTTAACCCTCGCCGGCACAGGGGGGGGGGGGGGGGTGATGCAACCCCCCTAAGGTTTTTCGCGAATAACTCGCGTAAAAAGCGGCCGATCGCGACGAAACTTTCAGTACCCTCGCATTGATCAATTTTACACCTACCCTGAAAATTTCATGACCCTCACCCCAATGACCTTTGACCTGTAACCTCTTTTCTGTGATCATGTTTGGCACAAATCGCGGTTCGGCGCATGTCGGCTCGCATTAGCCGCGCGTTTGCAAGCTTTTCGTGGTTTCAAACGTTCAAACATGTGATTTGATGTTGCTTCCATGCATTAGGGTGGGTGTCAAGGTCACCTGAAGGTCAGGTCAGGTCATTGACCTTTGGTGACCTCGGGTGACCTCGGTTCACTTTTTCGAGTTTTACATGTTTCTAGGCTAGTTTTTTGAGCTGAATTCGAATTTAGCAACCATTTGAACATTTACGAAGTAGTTTTGGTACCTTCGTAACATGTTACGAAGCTGTCCGAGGCGGTTGACACGTATTACGAATACCCGTCACAACCCCTACCGGTTGACCTGACCTGACCTGACCTGACCTGGTCTAAATGCTTAAAGACATCATCTCTGATCAAAACTAACACGATATTTGTGATCAGCACCCCGGAAAACCTCATAGCAGCCACACTTTACGACTTTCTAACAGGTCCCGATTTTCCCGGGTTTCGGGTCATTGACCTGACCTGGAAGGTCACCCAATGACCTAGGACCTTAAAATTGGGTATCATCGGCTTCCTCTCGTGACGGGCAACACGCTCGTTTTTTCCGCGAAGCTCTAGCTCGATCAGGGGCCAAACGCGAGGGGGGGTCGTACCAACCCCCCCCCCCCCCTTGTGCCGTCGAAGGACTCAAAATGGCCTGTGCTGGCGAGGGTTAAACTGCTTCTGATAGACACCCGTTTTTTGTTATAAAATTTTATCTTTAAAATTGGACCTTTTTGACCTGAAAGTAACCTGACATTAGCCAAATTCGGCTGAAAATTGCCCCAAATACCACAGTGGATATGCCAATCGGATACCACCTTTTTCGTTTACCGATATCAAACCGAAACCAACTTGATATTTAGTATTTCAATCCAAATGTGTTGGTGTTTTGTTGATATTATGGATCCTCGCTAACGCCTATGAGGCTGTGAATTTGGTAAAAACTTGGAATTTCCCCTCAAAGTCCCTACTTGGTTCAGTGTCGGTATTTTCCCATGGTTTTGGTGGGTATTTGGTTTGGTATCGGTATTCCGATTTTCTGTAATTGACATCACTATAACACAGACGATACTCTTTTCACATTATTTGTCTGAAATTAACACGCGCACCGACGGGGGTCTGCGCCAACTTGTTACCGACGGGGGGGCGGATGACCGCCCCCCCCCCCCTGAGATCTCGAGAACGAAGCAGGATAGCGACAAGCGGTAAACGGCATCGGATACGCACGGACAAGGTCTACAATTTTTACAAAGGTCATTTTCAGGTCAGGTCAAAGATGACGTCACAGGGGTAAAGAAAAGTCAAAATGGCGGCGCTAGATATGGAGAGTTTTTCTCGAATAACTTTCGAATTAGTCAAGATAGGAACAAACTAAGGGCATCATCGTGATCCTCTAGTCAATCCGCATCAAATGATATACGAGTATATGTTGACCTCGAAGGGTCAAGGTCAAAGGCTGACCCCAGGTCACGTGACCTCGAGGTCATCATGTATATCATTCGATGCGTCTTGACGAGCTGAATACAATGAGACCATCCGCGCGGCTGTATCTTGTTCCTCTACGGAGTTATTGGCAAAAAACTTTTGGTGACCTTTGATGACGTCACATGACCTTACACCTGCCCAACAGCAAAACAGACCTCAAAGTAGTGAAGGTTGATCGTATATGAAGTCGTGTATGGTATATGGGGCCATTCCGACCCGTTTTAGTGGTAAAAACAGAAAGTTGATTTTCCCCCCATTGACTTATAATGGGGAGGTCGAGAAATTGACCTGACCTTAGGTCACGGATATGAAAATTCCGAGATATGAAAATTGTAGCTACTAATGACCTAATAACATCCTGCGACTTTCAAAGGCCTCCGACATCTACTGTAGCTCTGGCAAGGTGACAAATTGCAAAAAAAGTGACCTAAGGCTGGGTCATTCAAAGTGACCCGGTGATCTGACCTTAAAAGTTAGGAAGTTCAAACTTGCACACCATGTGTAAAATTAATGAGAAAATAGTCGTACTAAATTTCGCGGCGCTACGCGCCGCGGTTGTTCTGATATTCGCGAAAAACCTCAGGGGGGGGGCGGATATCCCCCCGTCGGTGCGCGTGTTAACTAGTGGTGTCAATTTCAGAAAACGTATGTCCAAAGTCCATCCAATGTCCAATGCTTACGTCAACTGTCCGTCCAAAAATGTCCAAGCCAGCCATTTTTCCAAAGATGTCCGACACCTACGCAATAGTTTACACACAACACTGTTATTTAATTTGCTTTTCATGTACCGTTACCAGCTCAAAAGTGTTAATCATATTGAAAGCTGAGCTTTCTAATAGCCAATCAATGTTAAACACGATTACTTTTTAAAAATGTTGAGGTGTAGCAAGCGATTGTCCAAAGTTGTCCAAAGCCTGCTGCCATTGTCCAACCGAATTCCGAAATGGACATTGGACAAAATCGGAATTCCGAAGATTCAAGTTTCGATTGACACCACTAGTGTTAACCCGGCAGTTGCTGGGGTATTTCGCCACCCACCGTTTGCTGGGGGGGGGGGCGTTTGTATTTACATTTAAGAGCGATCCACATACGATGTGCGTGGCGATTGCGTTAAACGCCCCCAGCCGATAACTCGAGAACCAATAGGCGCAGCAAAACGCACGAGGCGGCAAACGAAAGAACGCGACGAGACGCTTCAGATGAGTACTTTAAAATTGAATTTTGAGGTCACAGGTCGGGTCAAGGTCAGGTCAAACACCTGAAATCGGGCTTTCAGTAGCATGGACTTCAGGACTTCGCAATGAGCGCCTCTCGTCATAAACTCTGTCAAAACGGTACACAATCCATCATATAAGGCCTACAAGAGTGTCAGCCCCATGTAGGGGTCAGTCAAGCATAGGTCAGGGTCAAGGTCAGGTCAACCGGGCAGGCACATATCCCCGAAAATCAAAACCAATATTCGCAGCCTGTGACACATGTTTTATGGGTAATTTGGGGCGTAGAACACGATGGTGACATTCATTTTATCATATGTGTACGTGTTTGGCTCAAAACGTTCAATTTAAGAAATGTATGTATCATGGTCGTGAAGTAGTCACGAGAAATTGCCAAGATTCAGATCAAGATTAATAATCGAAGATAGCCATTTGATTGTTCATAGTATTGGCAGTCTAATGCCGTTTACGGCATGTCTGTATGTCTATTTTGTGATTTTATATGATTTTTTGAACATACCTATGCCGTTTTTGGTCGAAAACTCAGAAATCATGACGTCACTAAAACCTCGATATCTCAAATAAAATTCCGACTGATTTTTTTTTTAAATTTTGTCACAATAGACTTCAATCAATTCCCTACAGGTACCAAAAATTTGGCGCGCCTGCAGCGCGCCGTTTTAATGCTTTGGCCCGGCGAAAAAAGTGGAGGCGTTTAACGCCCCTCCCCCCAGCAACTCGCGGGTTAACCATAAAACACATCTCACGCGACCGATACATGATATGAAATTTCCGTGACCTAGGATGACCTAACCTTGACCTAAAAAATTCGAAGTACATATTTTTTACCCTTAGAGTATCTTAGGCATATATAAACGAGTGTGTAAACCAAAATGAGTGTCAACTTCGCCATAGGGGGGGGGGGGACATCATATGTTACCACCAACCTCTAACCCAAAAACTAAGAGGGCTAGAAAGACGCGGTAAAAAGCAGTCGATAGCTCTCAATGCGTACGTTTGAAAGTATTTCAGTCATTTTTCATCTTAGAGCAATATTGGGGTCACCATAGGTCATCAAAGGTCAAAATTTGTCAATTGTCATTATATTTTTTCAGAAAACATGCCGTTATCTCAGGAACTATAGTAGCTAGAAAAACGCATGGAACAGCAATCGATAGCTTTTGAACTCTTCTTTTGATAAAGTCTGTATCAAATTTGACCCCAGGTCAACAGTTTAGCCTCTAGAGGGTAAAAACTCCAAAAATAGCTGTTTTTACGAAAAGTGTTTTTCGACAATAACTTTCGACTACAAAA